TCACCTAAATGTAATAATTAGCACGTTGAAATAGGCTAGTAAAGTTTAACTGGATTCGTAAATAATATTGGCCTCAAAATATTGTGGCTGAGACATGAGCCGATTAAACGTAGAAATAGGAAACCTAGAAATATAGTAAAAACGCTGAATAGTACTCCAGCGTCGCGACATGCGGACGTTGGTACGAGCAGGTTAGTCTACAAACGTCACCTAAAGTAATTGATTTTACCCGGCAGAGCGAAAGAAGGAAACTCCGCTTTTCAGTTGTCTTAGGCGCAGGTTTTTTGACAAACAATGACCTTTCAGAGGTCAAATTGCTGTCAAGAATATGAATTGGCTGCTTCACAGCAATAATTTTGATTTAAAGCTTTGTAGTCAAAAATAGGTATCACATGGCCAGTGTTCCATGAGCAAAATGCAATATAATAGTATTTTTCGGAGTGTTGACATCTAAATCATAAATATCTTGAATATAAATAGTGGATAATTAGGCCTCAGACTGAAACTTGATCCTTTAAATGTTATGCTATTACGTCACTCAAGAGCTCGGTCGTAAAATCAAGTATGTTGCAAATGGGAGGTATGACTGTACATGTTGCAACTCTACACTACTGTATGGCATTATTTTACGCAAATTATTCAACTACATTCAGTATGATAACAAAAGTTCAAATACATGTTGCAAATGTTTAGTCCCTATTGACGCTGTCAGTGTGTTTATCGTTATCCCCATGGTATGTAAACTTCCCGTTCAAATCTAGCAAGGAACAATTCAATTTTCACATAAGTAAAACCTTGCCATGTACTAAGTTGGTGAGATTACATTGAGAAAATCACCATTTTCTGATATAGGTATCCTTTTATTCCTTTGTTTTTTTTTTTCTTTATGGCCAATTTTCTTAACATCAATTGTTCATATCTTTGGATGATCTACTTATCCTAGAAACACCATTAAAGGACAGTAAATTAAAGATTATACCTGTCATTGTCACCTAATAAAATACATCAAATACTAGATTTTTTTTTTTTTTTTTTTTTTTTCTCAGCCATGAGACTCATTTTGTGGTGAGACCTGACAAAGGCCAACAAAAAAAATTGTTTGTTCCTTGCAACCTAGGATTAATTATCCATTGAATTCTGTGTCTAGTTAGACTTTATACTTTAGTAAACAATATTGGAAAATGATTAATTAGAAAATGCTCTAGCTAAGTTCAGCATACACATGTCTATGCCCTAAATAATAAATTGCATTATCAAAAATAGGTCAGTTAGGGCAAAACATCACTCCTGTGATATTTTCCTGACGCAAACTCACATTGAAATAGCATTTGCAGTAGTCTACCCACTTCTACTTTGGGGCGGGGGAGAATCAGATTCAACATTAGTCACTAAGGAAGAGCTCAGCAGTCTAGTCTAAGTGGTTATGGCACCAGGCTAGTTATCTTCTATGTCATGGGTTCAATTCCTACCCGAATCACTTTTTTTTTTGGGAACGTACTGAGTATTCGGTACGATAACACGTCATGTAGGACAAAACATCACACCTATGATATTTTCCTGACGCAAACTCACACATCCAAATATCAAAAAATCTTGACACATGCTAAGGGAACATATCTGTAATGTCACAGATTGTAGAAAATTGCGTTTGCCTTTTATCGTGATACACACTATTCTAGCAAACATATTTAATAATAAATTTCATTTGTAGTTCATAACCCACCAAGCTCAAATTCAGAATATTCCATTCTACTAAATAGGGTTTACTTTTTGATTAATTATGAATGTTACAAAGAGGTGAATGTGTTGAAGCTATTATCAACAAGTATCTGAAGTTGTAAACAACTTGACATATTGCAAAAAGTTGAAACAAAAAAGCTAAAAACCAGATTTTCATCTGTCAATCTTCATTAGAATTTGAAATACTAGACTGACGTTTGTTAATGGCACATTTGTAAGTAGTTGGAAAATACTGTATTCATAAAAATAATAATCGGTTGAAATATGGTACAATTCGTCTATTTTTAATAAGGATAGGGCCTATTCCTGTCCATATGCCCACCCAAAAAATCAGCGCAACCTGTGTTCAAGGCAGGTAGATTTATACCTGCACGATATATATAACAATAGTGTTTTATTTCAGGTTATTATTGACAATTCAAGCATGGAAGATTTTAACAAAAAGGAAGGATTTCTATTGTCCATCAAACCATTGTTAAAAAAATAATTAACAACAAATCAAGCAGAAATTCCACAATATGAGTAGAGTATATTTTTGAATGGTGATTTGTATTTCAATGACACCTCGCCACAATAAACATCTTTTGAAGGCACTCAGGTATATCATGAATCTTGTCTAATGAAGGAACATTAGGCAAGACTTCTTTTTTTATACCTTGTTTAGCAAACAATAATGATGGTTTCAAATAAAAATAACATTTTATTATTAGCCACTTAGCATGCACACCGCCATCAATAAATGGAAATTTAAGAAAAATAAGTTTTTATTTATAATTTTATTACGCCTGCATTGAAATCTCTGAAAATAAGATATACTGCAAATTTCTTAATCCTAATTATATAATTTTAAGTATTTAACCAAAACTAATAAAATTTTATATTTTTTTTCACTTCTGTCTGGATGTTTTTGGCAAACCCTAAATAAGGAAAAAAAAATGATTTTCCTCGACAGAAGGACCATACCCACCTCAACCCCACCATTGTTCAAGATGACGTGAAAAAATTTGTAGGGTATGGTCCTCCAGATGTTTGTTATGTGGGTTATTAACTGTAAAGGAACTGTTTGTTATGTGGGTTATTAAGCACTGTAAAGAAACTGTTTATGTGGGTTATTAGGCTCTGTATAAAGGAACTGTTTGTTATGTGGGTTATTACTATAAAGGAACTGTCATGTGAGTTATTACTGTTTGTTTTTGTGCGTTAAAATTGTATTTATCAGATATTTCCTGGTGATGAAAGGAATTGTTTGTTTTGTGGGTAAGGCAGCATCTCTTCAGTTGGTGGTAATTACTGTGCGCTGAACCGTGGAGATACTTCTATAACCTTGGTCCCTGGTTCAATTCCAATTTGCTTTCAATTTGTCTCGGCTAGTGGGCTGGAAATTAAAACGGTTTTCCAGTAGGCATACTACAATGTAAAGTCTTTCATTTGCACAATTTGCACAAAAAAATTGACAAAAAATCAGCGAGCATAATCTTAACTGTGTAATACATACTGTCATACCGATAATAGCTTGTAATAATAATGCTAAATAGGCTTACTTCAATTGCGCAGGGGATACATAAAAAACTATAGCTGAAATTTGCATGGAAAATGCCTGTCTAGGCACTAGCCTAGGCCCTTGCGTGTTAACGTGGCCAGGGCCTAGAGTTCTTATGTAGGGTACGCCCTAAATAGACTAGTCAAGCCTAGCACTCTAGCTGTTTTTTGCTCTAAGCCCTAGCTAAACATGGTCCTCCCCTCCTTGACTTGGCCTAGCTAGAAGAGGAGCTAAGCATAGGTCCTAGGCCTAGGCCCTAGTCAAAATAAACACTCATCAAACACATACAAAATAGGCTAGAAGAGGCCAAGAGGCTAGCCCGGCCTAGGCCTACTTTGTTTTTGCCTTTATTTTACAGTGTTTTGTTTACCTGTTGACATGTTATAACGACGGCAAGCCAAGCAAACAACCCAGCAATAGCGTCACATGCTCCGGTTTGAAGAAAATGTGTTTCCAATATTATTAAAACTGGCGTAGTAGAGCCTTCCAATGAAGTAGAAAGGGAATTGTTAAGTCCATTTTGTGATGTAAACTGTATGCCTGACAAGTTGGCTATGGTCGTGCCAGGAGGAGTTGTACCACTCGCAGTCGTTGTGGCTAGCTGAGAAGTAATATCATTCGTTGTCAAACCATCAGTACCCGCCATCGAATACAACAAAAAACTCTTAAAATATATGGTACATACGATTCTCAAAACTAACTGTTTATCGTGTTATATTATCGAGTCATTTTCTATAAACAACTGATGAATCAATATGTGGTTTATGATGTCGAGTTCACAACCAGGATCTGCTGCGCGCATGTGCGAATTAATCATTAGCAAAGTATACACGGCAACAGTGTATATAGCTTTGATTGAAATTCAAACTATTGGCCCTTACAAGAAGACACAACATTGCAAAATCATGTAGTTGGTGTTTTTCTCAATTTAAAACATTTATTTTTTTAGCTTATCACTTACATTATTATCTTTAAGCTAGTTTTAGTTAATATTGATAAAGTCAAATTACAATATTCTAATGTTTTCATATTTTTAATGATTTCGAATAAAATTAGTTTTGGCCAACCGCAGCCACAAAAAAATGGAAATTTTAGAAAAAAATTAAATTTTTCTCTACTTTTATTACACCCTGCCAGCTGCCTCGAAATCTCCAAAAATAAGGTATTTCTATTTCTTCTTAATTATATAAATTTAAAGCATTTAAACATCCCATTACTATTCACCATTCAAATTTTATTTTTATTTTCTTTCTGCCCTCCTCTAACGATCTTTAAAAATATAAGTTTGCGAAACAAGGTATTAAGAGTCTTGCCTAATATAGAAATAATTAAAGTGCATTAAGTTTTACTTATCTGGAATCTGACCCAGATACAGGTAGAACACAAGCCATCCATGTACACAAACCCACACATTAAAAATGTATCAATCCCATATCCATAATTTTATATTCATATAAATCATAAATATTGTAATGCACTTACCGTCAATTAACACAACAAAACGTCTACATTACACAGGTCATCAAGGACAAACAAATTGTTTATAAATATAATAATGCTACACACATTATTAGGCGCTAAATGGCAAAGGTGAGGAATTACATATTCTATAGTAACGTCTCTATTTCAAATGGCATGAATTAATGTTTCTTTAGCAGGATGATTTAAAATGAGTAATTCCGAGTTATAATATAGTTTCAGAGTTATATAAATATATTATATATATATATATACTGTATATATACTGTCTCTTATACACATCTAGATGTGTATAAGAGACGTGTGTGTGCGTGTGTGTTAGGTTTTTATTGACTTTTTATGGGAGCAGTATATATTTAGGTGTTTATTTCAGGTATTTCTTGCAAACAAACAATACAAGGTTACATGCCTAAATCTTCAGAGCATGTATTATCATAAATGCTGCTCAACATGTTTTTCATTGATGTTGGTTTGGTATGGATTTATTCAATGCCAGCAGATAATTATATCAATAATAATAATAATAATTAGTACAATAGTAATAGTAGTATTGTATGTAATAGGTATATCATAAGTACTGTATATATCTTGCATGAAATATATTATATAGTACTGTATACATATCATGTATTTTGTTACTTTTACACAATAAGGCAAAACAAAAAATTGTTTGTTTGCCCCCC